TATATACTGCTAGTGCTGTAATTTATATACATAATATACTAAATTTTATTTTAATTTTTACTATAGATATGCTTGTCACGGATTTCACATTTTTTTTTTGCACTAATAATAATTTTCATTTTGATGTGAAAAGTAATTGTACTTGTATATTTTGCGGAGACCAATGCACAGAATATGATATTAAAACTTGCTTGGTAAAGAAAATGAGTTTGCGAGAAGCTGCGACTTTTCATAAGAATTCAAACAAAAAGTATATCAAATATTATATTATTGTTGTACACCTATGGTGTTTAATAAATACTTCATTCATTCATAAATTTATTTTATTTTATTATGTAACTAAATTTAATTTAAGTAGAGCTTATTGATTGAATCATTAATTTAACTCTGATTTTACATCATCTGATAATTATATGGCACGTTTTACGATAAAACAATCCAACTTTCCCTGTTGGTTCGCCATCATTCATTTTCAATTGAGGAACGCGCTGAGTGAAATTTCTCGGCACTTTCAACAAAAAGATAATAACACAGCACGTGAACACAACTCGTGTGATTAATTAACACGCATTAAACCATGCTCCATTTTGACAGGGTTGACGCATCTCAAATTTAATGTCAAGTACTAACACGTTTTAAAAGCGTGATATAGTGTTGATTGCTTAACATGGAATTTTTGTTTGTCGCGCGATTAACCCTATCGTTTATTTAATCCGCCTTTCAACTTTCAAGCTCCCTCGCGGTGCAAATTCAATGAGCAAATAAATAGCTTCGTACTGATTGATCTTTTGTCTTATCTTATTTAGTTCAAGCAGTTCTGGAATGACTGAAGCTTAGTCCGAACTCTCAAGAGTTGAGTGATATGCAAAATGATTTGTGATATGATAGCGATTTTGATTTGCTACTTTTTTTTAACTGTCCTTGCCAAAATCATTACGCGTTTTTTTATGGAAAGTGAAGTGCGCGGGTCCAGCAGAAAGAGAGGCTGCGAGGGCTAAATATATATTCAACGGGTTGAAATGCTTTCAGTCTGTCACTTTTAAAGGCGCCTTTTTCGTATGCATTATTTTTAGCCGCGCACGCTGCTTTTCCTATTGAAGGCTTCTCTTGAAAACAAGCCGCCCTCCGCTACGCCCTCACTTTCAAGACCAGAGGCTATATTTATTTTGTATTTTCCCTCTCCTTTTTAAATTTATTTCAACCATTGTTAAAAAAATCAATTAGTAACTATTAAAAATTAATGCAGTATATTCCACTAATGAAATTGTAATTATTGTTTTACTTCATTATTACATTTATTTTACGAGCCTATTTTTGGTCAGCATTAAATTAAAATACACGGCGGGAAATTTTTCAAAATGAATCGGAGAACTATAAATAACCAAACAGAAAGAGATATAAAAACAGTGAGAACCGCTTATATTTTCATCACGACCATCTTTAACTTTTATGAGGCCTGGGGGCATTCCTTGCGTTGGAAAAATCGTGCACCCTTGGAAGCTTCCAGAAGTTTTTGTTGATATTCTGTCATTTCTTCTTTTTATCTGCTGCAGCTGCCGGCTGCATCCTTAAAGGGAAGACGGCCGCTCTGCACAGCGTCAGCCACCGGGTGCTATTTTTAGAGACACTCGCGTCTCCGTGAACTTGACCCAACACGGACTTAAAATTCACGCGAGCGCCCATTAAGATTGCAAAATTTTCGGACGTAAAACAGGAGATTTTTATGTTTTTTGATGATAAAATTTATAACAAAAATTAAAATAAACTTGTAAATAAATTTTAATCATTTACTCACTAATAATTGCTTTATTTTTTTGAAATTTAATTCAGAGGTATTGCTTTATTTGGTTTTTTTTTTACAATCAAAATCGTAAGAGAAAAAATAGTTGTTGAAGTTAATTTTTCAATCTTAAATAAAAATTGGTAAATAAAGCTTGCAGTTGTTTATAATTGAAAATTTGAAGTTATTCCCTTTGAAAAATTTGAAATTTTTCCAAATTAAAACGAGAAATTGATTGAAGCGAACACAAAGTGTGTTGTGCAGTCGGAGGCGATCTGAAAATTTGGATTTGGGCTGCGGGCGCACCATTTATGGCTCGCGCTCCTCGAGGTTCCCACGTCGTTATTTCGGGCTAGATAGGGCGAGAAATAGCGGCGTGATGCAGGGGGTCAGTGGAGGCAGAGGCGCGCGCGTTGACGCTCCGTTCGCTCACTGTGCGCCGCTCGCTCCCTTGCTGGCACCGCGGCCGCCGCCAGATGCAACGCCTTTTTTGGCCGCACCACGCTCGCAACCGGCAGATCAATTAAATAATTGTCTTGAGCGCCTATTAAAAATTTTGTTCACAATTTTTAATTTTCCCACAAGTCTTAATTGCCATCTATTAATTTCATTAGCAGACCTTTCAATTAATTTTATTTATTGCTCTCCGACACTTGCAATTAATAATTGAGCTCTATTACTTTTATCGCGTTCTTTTTAGTGGAGCTGACGCGTTAAAGAAGGAATTTGATATTTTTATTTTGTTCTTAAAAAAAATTTAAATATTGTTTAGTGTAATAGCCAGCGTAAAGTGCGTGATAAAAAATTTTTAACAAAAATTTTAATTTGTTTCATAAAAAAATAGATTATTGGGATCTGTAGGAGTTAATACTGGGAAGTCGATGTTAATATTCTATCAATAAATTTTATAAGTAAAATTTAAAACAAAAAGTATAAATGCTACATACGAGTTGCGTTTTATATTTTTAGCTTTCACAAACTCATTACTCTATGTATTTGTTGGATTTACATGAACTATTCTTATTTATAGCTGCAATACTATAAATAAATTCTTCAACTCCAAACAATTTGTGTAGCAATTTGAATAAGTATTTCAACCACAAGTATTTTGAACAATCTAATTTTGTCAATTTTTTAAAGAATGGAAAGTGCACTTCAGATAAAATATGGATTGATGACAGATGTTGTAAATAAATTTAATTACTTGAATTTTTGAACCAAACTGCAGCGAACTGATGCACTTTAAATTTTTTCTTACCTTTTTTTTCAATATTAATTTATTTTGATAAGAGGTAGTTCAAAGTTTCATTAGTGGCCTTTTCCCACAAGATACTTCATCTTCTTTGAACAATGCCGTATCAACCTCGCTGTCTTCTTAAGGAAAGATCGTTTAAAAAAGGTTGGAACAATGCAAAAATGTTTATGTATATTTCTTTTATATAAAGCAAAGGTTGAGGACGCAACATTTTAATGGGGAAGTTTTTTATAATTCGGCTAAAATATGCTGTTGAAAGTGTACCAGTTGATTGAAGCGGTTTTTTAAACATTGCTACCTAGGAAAAAATATAGAATGATATTATTCTTGTTCTATGGTTATGAATAGCATGATTTGCAATTGATAGGATTCAATATTGGTTAACGATTTACATGTTTGTTAATTTCTCCGAACAATGTGTCTATTATTTTTATTTGTTATATTTAATAATACTAAAAAGTGCTCTTCATTCAAAGTGCTGAATTTAAATTTTTCTCATGCCCACACAATATTAAAATAGCAAATCATCATATTTATTAGATCAACTGCAAATTTACATCTATCATTTTGCTAAAATTCTATAATTATCTATCATAAATCGATAAACGTTTTATCGTTTTTATAAAAACTTATTTTTATTAACAACAATCAATGCTACCTAAAAATCAAATGAAAGTCAGTTTTTTTTATCATAATGCTTTGTCAGTTGAATTGCGTAATACCCAAATATTGTTATGTCTTGATCCAAAAATTTTCAACACACATTGCTTCACTTTTTGCCGCCCGACAGCAACATCTGTTTGGCCAAGCCCATATTAGTTGGTGTGTGTATGTGCCAGACGTGATCCGGCTGCCTCATGCAGCGTGTTCGGCAACAAAATGTTTTGTCAGCACGAGAGGCGAAGAAAAGTAAACGAGAGGGATGTGTGTGTACCGGCTAAAGAGTGTCGCGTCACAACCCGCGACGTGCACCGATGACGCGACCCGTCTGATGTTGATGGGCTGAATTTTGCAAGCCAGAGTAGCGGGAAAGCATCGCACCAGTGACTCACGCTAGCTAAGCTGCTGGCACTGTTTTGAATGGAAGGCCAAAATTTCGGCATTCGCTCAAAATTATTTATTTCGGCGACCACCTCACCGCTATGGAATCCAGAAGCGGAGGCACTCGACATGACACACATACTACTGTTCTAATTTACATCTTCTGCTATTTCTGAATCCACAATACGTCATTCTTCATAATGTTCTATTTGCAACCTCTTTATTTAAAATAGCTTAGCTAATTAACTCCAACATATTTCCATCCAATAAAAGGGGGGGAAATACTATATAAATTAATTTTACTTTAAATGGAATTCTAGCAGACATCTGCTTTCTTCCCCTTTTTTCCCCAATTTAAATTTTTCGTATTGACCGAGAAGAATATATAATTATCTTAATTATGTAATAGAACGCCAAATCTAGGAAATTGAAGAAAATATTAAAATACATTCATTATAGTTATTATTTTTCTTCTTGGTGGTATGAAAAAAAGTGAAGAAGGGGTTCACAGCTACCAGATGTCTGCTAAAACGCCTAACATCAAAACTTCTACGTTTTCCATCTTCACGTAAACTAATTTTATTACAAACAAAAAATAAATACAGCCTTCTCCGAAAATTTTCTCCGCACTGCTCCGAATGATTGATATTATAAAATTAATCATTTGGCAGGCAAAATGGGTGAAAACATGGAATTAAATTTCTAAATGAGTAGAATTATTATTATTTATGGAAGTTTCTATTTTCCTTAAATTTTTTTGCCAAAAGTTTTATGTATGAAAATAATTGTTACGAAACATGCAGGTATTTAGGCTGCAAAACGTTTTGTTGAAGATTATTAAAAATAATAATTTGTTTATCAAGTAAATTTTGCTTGGAAAAAATACAGCAGCAACACAATTATTATTATCATTTTCGGAACGAGTCCCCTGGTAGTTATGCAACTGGCTCGACCCGCTCGTCTCTGATCACGTGATCGAAAGGAGCGTTTGCAATGGAGTTCAAGACCCGAACAAGGTTCAAAGTTAAAAACTCGTCTTTTGGCTTTTAAAACATTCTTTATCGCCGCTGTTCAAGGTAATTTGCAATTTAGGCTTGAAATTTCTTTCCAAATTATGAATCGTGCTTGCCCGATTTCAAGGAAAACCCTTCAGTGGTTTAAGTCTCATCAATTCTCCCCTCTTACGAAGTAAACATTGCGAGCTGGCGAGGATTTTTGAAGGACCGAAAAAAATGATGAGCACCGACGAGACCACAAAAGAGGAGGATCCGAGGGAGGAAGAGGTTGAGGGGGGCGACAGTGATTCGGCCGAGGAGGCCGCGGCCGGTCCGGCGAAGGACGAGCCTGCTGAAGAGGAACCGTCCGGACAGGATGACTCCGAGTGGAGCCAACAACAGAGAGAGGTGATTCACATGTTATTGACGTAAGGGACAAAGGGCGCACACACACCGTGTTTTGACCTCGCGTGCGACGACCCCGATTTTTTCTTAATTGACGCGGTCTCGATAAATTGATGCCAAGGTTCACGCGAATTCAATTAATTTGGTCGCTTGCGGATTAAATGACGCAAACTTAGCTTCACAAGAAAATTTTGTATGTATTGCACAAAATTTTATCCAGAAGATTCTTTGTTTTACTCAGCAATCAATTTAAACTTGTATATCCTACGTTAAGAAGCTGATACGAAGGTTTGAGTCTGCTCATAAAAAAAATCAGGACTCCGTAAATGCTTTTTTTAACTCATATTTTATAATTTATATAAAAATGAGATTTTAATGTACTTTGAAATTTTTAGGATGTTCAGAAGGAAGTCTTGAAAATAAAGGATGAAGCAAACTGCCAGTTCAAAGAGGGTCTGTGGCAAAATGCGGCCGACGGCTACGGCCGAGGTCTTCAGCTGTGCCCTCGCTCGATGGCCAAGGACCTGGCCATCCTGCACGCCAACCGAGCAGCCGCCCTGATCAAGCTGGCCCTGGTCGACGAGGCCATCAAGGACTGTGACAAGGCTCTAGACCTTGACCCTCAATACCTGAGGGCGCTGGCAAGACGGGCTGGTGCCTACGAAATCAAGGAGAAACTTGACGAAGCTTTTGAAGACTGGAAGAAAGTGCTGGAAATCGATCCAGACCACCGAGAGGCCAGAGCGGCGGTTGTGGTAACTCTGAAGAAATTTGGTTTTACATTTAATTATAAAAAATTATGAACTCTCTAGAGACTGCCAGGAGAAATTAACGAGAGGAATGAAAAAATGAAAGCTGAGATGATGGGTAAATCAAATTTACAATCAATTTCATTTATAATTTCTTATAATCTTTTATAGCGAGCTTGCAATTCTAGTTTATAATAAATAATTACGCACTTCATTAAATTTTTTATCTTTACTTTTTCAGGAATGAAAAATCTTTATTAATTTTAGCATTTCAATTTTTAGACAAATTAAAGAGTTTGGGCAACATGATTCTTCGTCCGTTCAATCTTTCCACGGACAACTTCAAGATGACCCCGAACGAAGCTGGCGGATACTCGGTGCAGTTCCAGCAGTGACTTTTCTTTCCACACTATCAACTTAACAATGCTTACATTTAAACAAACAATTTTTGTCCACCAAAGTTATTTCTTAAGGTGGATTGTGATTTTTCTTCTTTATGCCGTCGCCCACGGCAGACCCATTGGGGTGGGGTTTTGCAAGTAGGACATGACCACAGACGAGATGGACAACATGAAACTTGACAGGATCTGCTTCGTGTCGTCGTTAACCTTCGAGTTGGCGAAGCTAATGCACGAGCAGTACAGGGCCACCCAGGCGCACCACTTGAGCTGATAAATATTAAAAAAAAAAAAAAAACGGGAAATTAGTTTTAATTTGAATATTGTTGGCAGTCAATAAAATATAAGTTTGACTTAAAAATGTTTATAGTTTTATTGAAAAAAAACATTGAAAAATAGTTTAGATTATATTTTTAAATTATTTCTATTTAACTATTGGATTTGACATTAAATCAAGCTAAAGAATTGGCATAAAACTAAAATTTAAACAACGAACCCTCATCATTAAGCCGCACATGCTGAAAATCATGCCGAGAATATTCATGTAGTCGGGGGTGAGATCCTCCCCAGGGGCGGCACCTGAGGCCTGGGTTAGTGGCGCTGGCGCCTTGTACCTGCAATGACAAAATAAATTATAAATTCAATTGGATTTTACGGGATTTTATTAATAAACAAAAGAAAATGAAGCCCTAAATTTTTGCAAACTATACGGCAAAAAATATTAATTTTACGCTCTTCTTACCTCACAATTTTGTCGGGCCTGCGAGGGTCAGCCTGGGAAGTCGGAGATCCGTGCATTTTCGAGTTCGAATTTACAAAAAGGATACAAATAAATGCGGATTTATCAATTCAAAACAAATTAAATAAAGAAATTGATTGAACAGAGTGACGTGCAGGAATCAGCTGCTTATAAAAGGAATGTGCACTGTGGAGACCTCTATGTTAAAGCGACTATACTAAACGCCGAGGCATTCTATCTTGTTATATTAATTACCTACTTTAAACATACTTTTTTAATGTTTTATTCATTAATTTCCAGAATTAATTTTATTATTTATTAAGCATTAATTTTTAATCCCTCAAAATAATTTGCAGCATAGCAAAATTCTGATTGTGAGGGTTTTAGGCAATTTGGCCTACAATCTTGTTGTGCAGGTTGCATAGCTTTGGAATTTCCTGTACACTTCTTTGACTTGTACAAATTGAGCTAATTCCCAAAGAATAAATCAAATAACTTTCATACTATTATGAGTACTATGGGGAATAATCTATGACTAGAGAAAAGTATTGCATAGAAACAGGGTGGAAAGTAAACTCATTTTTTTGGAATGAATTTTAATTCTTTTGAAATGTTTGAAAATAAATTGTAATAATATTACAAATCATTCCATTGAATGTATAACTTTATTTATAAATTATACAATTTGATGTAAATTTATGAAATTTCATCTTTTTATCTTTTTTGATGTAAAACTAAAACGGGTTCCCTCTTTCAAAACCATTTATTTTTCATTTTAATTTGACTTTAAAAGAAGCAAGTGCTATAATTAAAATAGCATAAAACAAATTACTGCAGCTAGAATAATATGTGATGTGATTTGGCAGATTTTAAAAAGCTTGAGTACACACTGCCAAAATTTGAACGCAAACCGAGAATGGCCAGATGAAATGATATTTATGCATGTGCGCATGTGATAAATACACATACACGACCCGCCGCCGTTGGTATTATATCCGTGGTGGCCGCGAGTGTGTTTGGGAATAACAGTACATGCCGAGATGTAGCGGGGCTGCGCCTGAGAAACAGCTCGGAGCAGCCTGAGGAAGGGACCAGACCACTCACCACCAGTCTGCCACGCGCTCTCCTCAGGTGCACCAGGACCGCGCGGCATGCCCTTTGCTTCTCCTTCGCTCGCCTAGACCACATTCTCTCTGCAATGGAGGCATTTCTCAGCGGAAAATCGGCGCTTTTACTCGCTGTGAGTATCACTTGTAAATTTAAAACAATTTATTTTAATAGAAAATGGGGAACTAATAATCATTATTTGCAATTCAAATTGAAAAATAGACATTATTTTTATCAAAATAAATTGTATAAATCAAATATATTTTTAATCCTTTTTCATTTCATTATTTTTTATTAAATTTTTTTACATGTCAATTCCAAAGTCTACATTCATTAATTTAAATTATATTTGCTTTATTTAAAAATAATTAGAATTATTTTGTTCTCAAATTTAATTTCAATCGAATCATGTTCCAATTTTAAAACCGCCATAATTATATTCAAGGGCATAAAAATCAAAGCAGTGACGTTTATTATAGGACAATTTATAAATAAAAAAAATCACGCAGCACCCATTATATAAAGGAATCAAGAATTTCCAGAATCGTGCAACATGCATGCTCAGTGAGCCAAGTATTTCGTGATGGAACCACAAAAAAAGCGAGCCTCTCCCAAGAGTGGTCACCAGTCGGTCGTTCAGTCCGTCCGTCCGTCTTGTGACGTAAGCCGCACATTAGTCGGAAAAGCAGAGCTCATCGACGAGCCAACCCGCGATAGAAAGAACCACAAGTTTAACGTTCTTGTCTCAGGGGAGATTGTTGACCTTCAGGTTGTTGCCTGATGAAGTGAGAAATATACCTCGGACTCGTGCGTTCATCGCCGTGTGTGTATATGCGTGGGACGGAGACACACACCATTTGACAAAATTTCTGCTCTTTTTTATGTGAGGCGTCCGACTGTTCGCGAAAAATGCTAAAAGGCCTGCGAGGCATAAAAAATAATGACATGCAGGAATGAAAGATGGCCCGCATATTTCTCTCTGTTTAGAGAAATAAAATAAATTATTTTATATTTGTTTTGTATGAATTCTTTTCATTCAAGGATTAATCTATGATAAAGAAACAGAATTTTTTAAATTATATCATGAAAATAATACTAATGAGTCTTCAAACTATTTAATTTATTCTCTTATAAATAAAAAAAATGTTAACAGAAATATGTAATATAAATATGAACAAATTGAAGTAAAAAAAATTGCAAATAAATTACAAATTACTCTAATTTTTCACGGCGAGTAAATAGTTTAAATTTACTTTAATTTAATTAGCAACTATATTGAATTGAAGATTTCTTCGACAATTTACTTTTTATCTTTAGTATAAAATCATGCCGAAAGAGAGAGAGAGATGCTTTTGCGAAGTGAATAAGATCTTTTAGCCGCTCGCGAAACAAACAAGTGCGGCGGTCATTGCGCGACTCGGCCAGCAGCAATTAGCACCGCATGCCTAAATAAATGTGTGCCACTGTAGAGAATAGAGAGGAAGCTAATGGCACGCAACGCAGCAGACAAATGAATCGCCGGCAAAGTCATAATTGATCGGCGCGGTGCGCTACTTGCGCTCCTAATTTATGCGACAGCTGGCTTAGTGTGTCACAGGGACTACCGACGGAAAAGGAACTCGATCACAACAATGCGATTGAGATGTACCCACACTAATTGTCTGCCCAGTGTCCGAGGCCGAAAAGTGGCAAGATCCTCCTTTTACGTGAGAAAGACGTATTGTTGATTTTTTTGTTAATTTTTCACAGAGTCTTTCTCACTTTCGAGGAATTTTTCACGGCAGTTGGATTTATCGACTGTGGCCCAAATCGAGGATTTGATTGTGTTTCTTCAAATGGTCTAGATTCGGCATTTTGGCAAAGACCAGACGGCCATTGTGTTCGTCTGATTTGTAAGCAGACGTTTTTGATTGAGGTTTTTTCTGCTCTTTTAACCGTGATAAAAGGCAGCATCTCCACTCACATTATTTTCCCACAGCAGATGCCAATTTTCGGTCTCAGCGTGGCGCCTCACCACACAATGGCTCAAAGACGCTCTAGCGAAATGTGCATCAATCCACTCTGTCACAAAGTAGATTTGCTATTTTTTGACAAATAGAGCGAAAATAGTGGAAAGAGATTTTGAATTTTATTCTGCTTATGACACAAATATGAAAACTAAAAAAGAAAATCCTAAATATTTATTATTAATTTTGTAGAATAATAAAATTGTTTTAGAAGTAGAAAAAAATTTTATATACATAATTTTACAAGAATTTTGTTGCAAAATAATAATTTGTAAGCCTTATTTAAAAATTTACACGCAAAAAAGAATTTTAGGAAATCCTGTATGTACCTCCTTTTAATTTTTGAGTTTTTGTATGCAAAAATATTTAATTCCCACGTCAACCTAAATACACAGAGTGTCTAGCCTCAATTCAAGTGCTGCACCTAACATAAATGTGCGTAGGTGAATCATCCTGCGAGTTCCGTGCGGTCAAAGTCAAGTGTGAGTAGCGAATGCCTGCACGCCCACTGGAGAAAGTACCGCACCAAAAAAACTCCGATTTGCAGGTGGAGCAAAAGAGAGTAAACGCGGAGGTTTTGCAAATGAGAACATCGTTTTATTGAATTTCCCCTGACCTTGATTTTTTGGTGATAAATGTGAACAAAAGTTTGTTAAAAATTCGTCATTTTGGCCTGCTGCGTTTCAATCAGCAAACGGCTATAGCTATTGGGAGCTTTTAATAGCACGAATGAAATTCCCCGCTAATGCAATTTACGGTTCTTCCGCATCATCATCCAAATAGAATTCCATCTGCACACGTTTTCATTTTTAGTCATCCATTTAAAGAGAGGTTTACCGCTTACTGAGCGAAGCGGCGTACGGCGCGTGTAATTGCATCGGCAATCTCTCAGTTTAGCAATTTTTCATTTCCGCGTCGCAGCTGATCAAAAAAAGAATCCGACCGCAAAAAGTTGAATGACTTAACTGTTCATCTATTTTCGAAGCTCATGCAAAAAATTCGATTGGGAATAGCACCATGAAGAGTTTTTTTTAATGTAATTAACGAATGATTTATTTGAAATAAGTAATCAATTAATTTCTTAGAGGGCAATGATTTTAGGCAAAATATTGAATCATATATTTTTATGATTTTTTATGTCCAATGAAATGCATTCATTTATAAATAAAAAAAAATATGATTGAATGAAAAACTACAATAATTGGAAAGAAGAAAACAAATAAATTCTGTTTAAACATTGTTTTTTATCTTACCTCCTCTGGATTTTTATTCTTATATCGTGCCGGCTCCACCTGAAAATTTGGTTAAATCGTGTCTCTCTCCCTAGTTTTTGAAATTTTTTCTCAGACCGCACCATCCTCGAACTAATTCTCTCCACAAATTTTGCAAGCACGAGCGCACGTCTCTTGAGGGCCTCGTGTGTCTCAAAACACGGCGATGAAAACCGATTGGACACAGTTAAGAGGATGATCTGGCAGCACGAGATTCATTCACTTGAGGCAAAATGCGTCGGCTCTTTTTCCCCTCTAATCGAGTACCGTAATTGCTGCCTCACTTTTTTTAAGCAAATCGCGAGCACCGACAAGACGCGTTGACCATTTTAATCTGTAAAAAACTGTGGTGCTCATCACCGATTCAATCGAATTTCTCGCCTGCTGCTCAAAAGTCGCCGAGTCACACTGACTCTGCCACGCCAAATATCCTGTTAAATGCCTGAAAAAAATTGACCTGTGGCTTTTTGTTAAGGCGCAATTTAGCAAAATCAGAAATAAATAAGTCCAGATTTATTATATTACGAGATAAGGTTAGTGAAAAAAATTTAATATAGAAAATATGGGATGACGAAGGTTAAGTTTTCATTCTTTTTATTATTAATAAGATTTTATTTCTGCTTTGTATCTTTTTATTTATTGTTAGTTGAATCTAAAAAGATTTAACGTAACAAATATGATATAAAAGATAACGTCTTAATTAAATCAATCACTTCCCTGAACTAAATCATGAGCGAAATTTCTGCAGAAAAATGTTATTTTTCATCTTTCCTTGATGGCTCTCCTTAACCAACTCAATAAAGGATTCAGGCATTACAAATAATAATTAGTTAAAATAATTTGGTCAAAATAAAGAATTGAATTAAAAATAAGAGATTAAAAAAATGTGACATATATTTCAATGAAAATAACTTTTAAAATATTTTAAATAATTTATTTTATTTATTTAAAAGCTTTCAACTGAAAACGAAATGTCCCTTAAGAGTTTAGAAAGGTCTGGAAAGAAATAAATTATAGCAATTCTCATTTTGCGATCATGTTAACAATTAAAAAAGAAGGAAAGCGGCGTGTCCTTACTTAGATTCGCCACTGAACGGATCTTTTTTAAAAGTGAGTTGTTGTTCCTCTCAATCATTCAACTCGCTGGCTCGCAGCGGGTATACGACCCAGGCAACGTTGATTCGCAAAATTCCTTTTTTTTTTTTTCATTTTCCCTTTCGTTATCTCGTCTTTCTCTCTGCCTTGTTTTCGCGCCCTGCACCTGAGCGCAGGCGAGAATTTTGACTTTCACCTGCTCGGCAATTTGCGAAAGAGAGGGTGATCACGTTGCTCGCTTTTGCACGGAGCTTTTCCAGCACGTTTAAGCGAGAGCGCACCTTGTGTGCCGCACTTTGGTGACTGAGAGAAAAGATCATTGACCGGCGCGCAGCACCTTTCCGAGCAGGCCCCTCGCGCGGTCCCGTTACCGACTCGCGGTGATTATGCTCTTGAGTCGGCCCTGGATTTTCTTATTTCTGTATCACACTCGCTGCAGAGAGGAAGGGAGCAGGGTATGACCTCACTCGGCGGCAATGAGCAAAGCAAATCAAACGTGGAAAATCTCTGTCTCCGCTACAAGGAGTACACGGAGTTGCCTCACCTAGAGGATGAGTCGTGCTTTTCTTCCGTGGAATTCCGCATTCAATTTGAGTCACAGTGAAAGATTAAATTCATTTTTGAAAAAAAAAAACTTTTCTTCATTATTTGAAAAATATAATGCTTCTTGAAAGTTTTAAATTTCCTGTTTTTTAATTATTTTAGTCAAAAATAATTTGAAATTTTCATCTGGAGGTCACCTAAATTATAAATTTGCAAAATAATGCAGAATCATCACAGAAGCTGCTCACGTAATTTAGATTCATATTTTTGCTCCGCAATAAAATTTTGATTATCATGTGAGACACACACATTGTCTTTTCCTCTTGTGTTATGTTTTTTTTTATGGATATACCGCTTTTGTGCGATGTAATGATGTTTTTTTGAGTGTGTGAACACGCCGAACCTTTATTATGGGCTCTGCGCCATTGTACTCGGCTGACACGCTTGCCGAATTAAATTCTCATAGTGCACTCTGTGGTGCAGATTCGCGTAATGAATGTAACACACTTTTCAGCGGGCGAGTATTGAAGAGGCATTAAACCTCGAACGGTGCTTCTGTGTGGTGCTTGAAAAAACGGCGTCGTCCAAATATTTGACACCGAGATGGATTTTTCACACAGATATAAAGAGGAGCTAGCGAGAATTCGTGTCAGGAAAATGAATTCCGCGTACTATATTTCACACTGTATTTGCAGGAAGTGATTCTTTGTGTGTGAAACAATCAATTAAATAAACTAGAACTTTAAAAAACATAAAAATGTAATTCACAAAATAATGAATGCTCTTGTCATATTTTTTGAAAGCATACAAGAAATCATTAAATGCTATTATTAACAGTAAAAAAAACATTATTTTTTCGTTAAAATATGTGTCCATCATTATTATTGCTAAATTTTTATCAGGGTAATTGTGCTATTTATAGTCTGGCTTCTCTTGAGACAGAATATTCCTCAATATTTTTTGTTTTCCAAATTCTAATTATCTGTGTTTCTGTTGCAGGCGTGTCTGGCGAGCATTAGTTGGAGCGCAGAAGGCAGTAATTTGTGCAATGGGAACCTGGCTGGACACCAGGGCAAATACACATGGGGAGATGCCCTGACAGACTCACCTGACTGTATTGGACCAACAGGAAGCCCATACCCAAAGTAATTAAAATCGTCAATTCAATCAAAGTTCATATACTTTAGGTATTCAAAAACTTTCAAATTATGATTTAATAATGTTGAATCTTTTTTGCATTCCTTATATTTGTACACATGTGATACCTAACATTTTACAATAAAACTTTTCAAATTTATACATGAAAATAATAAACCATGTAGGAGCAATGAAACGTGCAACCGCGGAATGAATCGCTAACTTGGTGTTGTATGTTAATTGGAACGCATTATGTAAGCCGTGTGCAATAACTGTAATTCGATCGTTCAGCGAGACCAACTTCTCAAAAGTACGGTTCAAAAGACACATCCATAAATCACGCTGCTGTGGTTATATGCATAATTATTTCCCTTGTAGCTACCGTTTCATTTAATGACCAATTTAATCAACATCCGTGTATATTCTATGTACCTTTTACCAATAAAACCCTCCGTTTCCAGATCACAGATAGCTCGAATGTTTGGCAAATCCAGGACGAATGACGGTCTGTGGACGGGCTCTTCAAGATCGGGCCGAGGAATGTTCGGATCGACGCCGGTCATGGAGCCGCACACAACAAGAAAGGCTCTTTTGAAGGCCTACGAAATCACCAAAGGAAACAGCCCTAGTGATACAACCAGATCAGGTCAGTTGAAAGAAAAATAAAAGGGGGAGCCAAAAATCAAATTATGAACTTCTAGGAAGGGGCAGCAGCAACCTCTTCTCGAGTCCTGCTGCAAAGGAGGCGTGCGGCTACAGTATGCCGGGAAGGTTGTGCAAAACCAGATACAACACCACCGCGCCTATGTATGGCGTCTCTCTCACCTCTGGACAGCCAGTCACCATTGTCCAGAAGTTCCCTGACCTCTTGCAACAGGTTGTCTTTGAGGTTTGCGAGTAAGTGAAATGACATTATTTTAGTTCAGTTTAGTAAATTAAAAAAGCAATATTTAAATTTTCATTTGGTTCTGAAATACTAAATAGCCCAGTGCATTTTAATGTAATTAGTGCAAGATTTTAAATTCACTGATTTTTATCTTTTAATTTTTCAGATCCAGCGAATGCGCGGTGATACAGGGTGAGTGCACGCAAACATATGTGCCGTACCTCTTCTTGGTGATTCCCTTGGGCCCCGTGACTCTGACTGGCCAAGACTATGTCCTTGTCGAGAGTGGCTGCACATGCAGACCCAAGTTTGGCGCTCCAGCGACCGACGAGGGACTCGGATCGATTCCGCCGCTACCCAACTTCCCTTGAACTGCCAAATGCATCAAACCTTCCACTAGTATGTGATGCCCAAATATTTTTTGCAAGGGATCGAGAGAGCGCACAGTTATTTGCCGAGAGTCGACTTATTGTTAAGTATTTATTGCGAGTGATTGTGGACGCAGAAGTTTGTCCTCAGGCCAACGGGCAATGCACGAATTCGCCTCAGGACAAATTTGCAGAACAAAAGGACGGCGAAAATGTATGTTTTCAATTAAAATGTTTGTAAGTAGAGAATGCAGATAAGCATTGTATTAGTTTTAATTTATATTGTGTTTCAATAACGATTACATTTTGTCTAGAATCTAAATTATAGGACAATAAAAAAGAAGGCGAATAGACTGAAATTTATACAATATTTTTCATCCATCACAAGACCTGACGGGGAGTTTCTCTTTGCCACGCAAAAATACATTGGGACAATAAAACATATAGATTTAGCCAGGCTGTTAGATGTATCACTTTGAAAGCATTTTCTTTAGCTATTAATTCACTTTCAGTAAGTAATGTTACCATTAAAAGTATCCTTTTTATACAATCAGTGGTGTGAAATTCAAATTTGGACAAGCTGTGCTCTATCCCTCTTGGCCAAAGTCGTCCTTGAATTTGTCCAACTTGGCCATGTCGTCGTCGTTCACTGTAGGCTTAGTTGTTGCCAGGGAGCGCAACATGTCACTCTGAAAATATTGAAAAATGAATTTTATTTAATTTTAAATTAACATAAAAATAATCTGTTCCTACCATGCTAACAATCGGCTCAAGCAACTTGTCTCCAGGCACATCCACCCAGGTCATTTCAATGGCTCCGGGTTCACCTGGCGAGCAGGGACTGAGAAGTTCATGGTCAATGACGTTGGGGTCGGCCCTTGAAGGGCCACTGCAGCGTTTGAAGTGCGTAGCAGACTGGACCTTTCTGATTGGCTGCATCAAAGCGTCCCTCACAATGATGCTGATGTCTGCACCAGAGTACCTAAATAAAAAAATTTGTTAGCACTCTTGAATTCCGATAGGTGTGCTTCAACTAACCCTTCAGTTTTGGCTGCCAAACTCTTGAGATCTGCCTCATTGAGAGAATGGGGTGTGTTTCCAAGGTGAAGTTTGAACATGGTGAGTCGAGCGTGCTCCTCAGGCAGAGGAATGTAGATTCGCTTTTCAAATCTTCGTCTGATGGCCGCGTCCAGGACCCAAGGGATATTCGTGGCGCCCAGCACCAAGATTCCATCATTGTTATTGCCCACACCTGTTACAATTTTTAAGTTAAATAAATTGGAGACATTAACATGATTAAACATGTTTACCTTGCATTTGGACAAGGAATTCAGTTTTGATCCTTCTGGCTGACTCGGATTCGTTGTCCGAGCGAGAAGAGCAGAGCGAGTCAACTTCATCAATGAAGACGATGGATGGCTTGTGGGCTCGTGCCATTTCAAAGAGACTCCTCACCAGTTTTTCAGATTCGCCAAGCCACTTGCTCACAAGATCAGATGACGATATGGAAATGAAGGTTGAATTGTTGGCTTCGGTTGCAACTGCCTTGGCAAGGAAGGATTTACCAGTACCAGGCGGCTAAAAATTGGGAACAAAAATTATTCAATTGTGCAAATTGTTTCATTTATAAAGAGTTACTCACCCCAAAAAGCAGAATTCCTTTCCAAGGGACCCTTTTGCCAGTGAAAAGGTGGGGAAACTTGATAGGCAAGATGACTGCCTCTTTGAGAGCCTCCTTGGCTCCTTCCAGGCCAGCAACGTCTGACCATTTGATGTGCGGCTTCTCCACTATAATAGCACCTTCCAGCTTGGTCTGCATCTTTTTCTTCTCGGGGTCTTCGTCATCACTGTCACTATCACTCTTTTTGTCCTTCCTGAGTTCACAAATAATTTTAGAAACAAAAAATCAAATCGAGGTTGAAGACCTACTTTCCACCTGAGTCGCCTTCTTTGACTGGTTTTTTACTTTTACCAGTCTCCAGGTACTTTTTGAGTTTTTCAGCCCTCTCCAGGTACTGGACGCACTTTTGCCTAAGACTGTCTTTTGACTTCTCACCTTGGACTTCATCTAGAAGCAAATCAATTTGAAACAAAAAAATTGGCATTGACAATTAGCTTACATTTGATTGCGTGCAGAAAATATTCAACCCCGTGTTCATACAACCGAAGTGCTTCAGCATAGTTCTTCTTTTTGTCCTCTGCTGTCGCCTGAGTGACTAAATCGATGGCTTTCTATGTTTTAATAATAAATTAATATTCAATGAAGTTTTTTTAATAATTCAATATATGGAACAAACCTGCAACGTATTTCCAGCAGCCATGATTTTAAATTAGCTGTTAAAACGGGGGTGGATTTGTGATGCTTATGTTGTAACCTAGAAATTAAATTGATCAATATGTTTAAAATTACGATTTACACACAATTTGAAAATTTGTCGTTTTGAAATCTCTATTTGCGTCCTGTTTAATTTTGCTACAAACGATTTTTCTTAAATTTTGCTGCAAAAAATTAGCGAACCAACGTTAATTATGTACCAGAGGTCTAGAAATTTCCTTAATTTACAGTAAAGTGTCACCCACAGTTCTTAACCAAAATATGAACAATGTCATATACATTGTATGTATGTATACGTTTGTAACATGCCTTGGGCTAGGCTACTGACAGTTGTTATAATATTGTGTAAACAAGATTTGGACTCAAAATTTAACATTTTAAATCTTTCCTTAAGTTTCGTTGAATTCACTGCGATTTCCAAAAAAAAATTTTCATAATAATTTGATTGGATGTTTCTCGCAAAGATCTTATAAAAAAGTAGCTGCGTTACCAAAACACAAGGAAAAGTACAACTACAGAAAAAAATGATTCATTCCAATTCCATATCTCTCCTACAGATAAATCCACACAGCACGCCAACAAACGTGACGACCGCAACTTACTTATAAATCTTAAATTTGTCCTGGACGATCAATTTATATGATCGTGCCTTTTGAATCCAAAATCTCGACGTTTTGGTGTTGAAACGAGACGAAATTTCCGACGAAATTAAAATGTTGACGTCCGTTTAACAAGATTTGTATAATTTCAGCTGCAAGCAACAAGCAGGCTAGCCAAATGAACCAATGTGTTTTTTCATATTTAGTTTTATATAAAATCCATATTCGGCGACCAAAAATAGATAATGGTAATGCATATATTAAATTTTGAAAATTTGAATCAAGTTATAATTTTCAAATTTCTTGAGAATACAGCTATAAATTTCTCTGCAATGCAGCAGTAATGACATAAAAATTAGCGCTAAATTTCAAATTTCAATGTCAAGGACACGTCGTTTGTTAATAAGTGAAAAAAGCTGTAAAACTTTTGAGAATTTTATAAGTAATGTTCACAAGTAGAAACTAAAATCAAGAATTAACATATAAGATTTCGTCAATCAAGTCTTCTTCATCTTCATGTTTGCCGACGAGGTCACGAATTTTTGTATTATGACGTCATGGTGGCACAATGGCAGCCAACCGTGCAAGAATGTTGGTCTGGCGATTGCCGATTTGTCCCTGCGCACGCGCGCTCGCAAAAACGAATAACAGTCAGACCGGGGAAGAAGCCATTTGCGTTTGCCAATAAATTGCCCATTGAATTTGAGTTGAATTCGGCATCCAGCAGTGCGATCGAGCGTTCGGCAAACATGTTCAAAGGGGATAAACCGGAGCAGGTGTTACAGATCGAGCCATCGAACGAGCTGCGCTTCACAGGTATGTAGGAAATGTCGGTGGACTTGCAGGCCCCTGTCTGCCACCGACCAGAGTATTTTCGTGCTCAAACGGATGATTTCACCCGAGTGCCGTCTGCCCGAGTCCTTGCGTCTTCGGACGCGTCCGATCTTGCGGCGGCGACGCCGGCGGCGCCCATCGTCTATGGTCAGACGGCCGAGGGCGGGCCCCGTTTGTAATCAGTGTGTCCTAATTATATCCGCACACAGCTGGATAAGAAAGTGTCTGTCTTGTCTTTTAGTTAGTTGGCAGTGATTCAGCTTTTATTAAGTCATACACTGCTTCTTTTTGTCGATTGCTCAAACACCTCTGATTAAATTACTGTTTTGTTCCCACAGGCCCATTCACAAGCGCAGTCACTTCGTACATCAACCTTAAGAACCCGTCGGACAAGAAGGTGTGCTACAAAATCAAAACCACAGCTCCAAAGCAGTACTGCGTCCGACCCAACTCGGGCACTTTAGATCCTGTGTCCTCCGTGGAGATTGCAGGTGAGTCACCGCCCAAAACGTGCAACTTTGGCACCGGCACGGGCCTCATTGATCTTAATTCTTAAGGATAAATTCAGATTATTTTTCCGTTTCCTTTTATTAATTTTATTCAAAATATATGTCTTGCTATTTATCTTTAGAAAAAAAAAATAGTATAAAAAATATCGGGAACTCTAAAAGAATTTAAATTTTTAGTGATAACAACTTACAATTGCAATGGTTTAAAATTTTAATCTTATCTGGTGTCGTAGGTCAACTTTATCTGTCCTTTCTACAAATCTACATGTCTCTAAAAAAAATTCTTGCAAGATAAATTATTCATTAATGGATAAACAATAGATAGAACTAATCCGATCTTTTTAGAAAAATTTAATTTTCATAAATCTATTGCCTTTTGAATTTCAGTCAGCTTACAGCCTCAGCAAGGTGAATTTCCTGGCACAGAGAACTACAAGCACAAGTTCATGGTGCAAACGATGTTTGCCCCTGATGGCGAATACGACGCAGACCAATTAGTAAATATTTTTACTTTCTTTGTGGTCTTTTGCTAAGAAAACTATGCACTTTCAGTGGAAGGAGATAACACCCGAAAAACTGATGGATTCAAAACTCAAATGCGTGTTTTCTAGTGGCTCAGAAGTTCCAGCAACCGAAGACTGTGTCAAAGAAGCGCCAGTTCAAGAAAAGAAAGTCACCAAGAGCAACAAGGTTAGCTCCGTAAAAAGCTCAATCAAGGTACTTTGCAGCTGCAAACATCCTGCGCATGCGATTTTAAAACTTTAATCCTTTCAAAATCTTTTTTATCTTTCTCAGTCATAAATTTTTATCGCACCTCTAAATTTCACATATTGCACGGAGTTTTGCAGCTGTAAAATTGGAGCAAAGTCCAATTTCACAACCACTTGTATCATAAAACTATGTCTCAAAGCATAAAATTGGCATGATCATCATCTAAAGTCAGAGTAAGAAAATTAAGCAAATTTTAAATTAAAGTAATCAGAATTTTAAATCAATATTTTGCTCTGCCAACATTTTGTATAATTTTTGGAAAGTACTTTGAATTATACCCAAAATGCATGATGGGCTTCTCTAATTGTTGATCAAATTAATCGTTAGGTTGGTACTCAGGCTGAAAATGAGCTGGCTCGTGCAGCTGCAGAGGTCAAGACGCTAAGGGAAGAAGAAAGCACTCTAAGACAAGAAAATCTTGCTTTGAAGGTAGAATTGTATAGGCACCACTGGAATTCAAGTAATAATTTTGGAAATTTCAGGAAGAGGTTTTGCGACTGCGTAAATCTAATAGGGAGGCCCGAGAGCATTCCGGAGACTCCTCAATCGGAAGCGGCGGAGCCAATGCGCAGACACTTGCCACCATGGAGAACAACAGAGTTTACCTTGTCCTGGGCATTTTTGCTGTTTTGTTTGGGATTTTGTTGGGAAAGTTCCTGCTCTGAGCCATACGTCACTTGTCACTCATCTCAAATCCACAAGCTCCGATCCAGTTTGCCTAAAACGCTGCTGCTACTGATTGATTTGTAATAATCCGAACGAATTACATGGGTAGGAACATTCTGATAAGTACCAAACGGTCTTTTGTATGTACAAAAGTCAAGCTTTGTAAATCAACTCGATTTGGTTTCATCTCCAGTCAGAACCGTGCTTTCGAATTCTCGTAGGCGTTAACTCATTTTCCAAGCGGACTTGTATATTATTTAAAAGGAAATAAATAGAAGTAGCCACCTGCTTGTGTCGGATGCCCAGAGGTTTCAAACAGGACAAGCAAGGTCTTTTAAAGTCTTGAATCCTGTTGGCAATAAGCTGCTTTTCAAAATTACTGCTCATTTCATTTGGCAGAAACTAAAGTTAGCCACAAGCCAAGTTATTATCCTTTGTCAGTGTGACAATGTTGCACCAAATACATTTCCACTTTTTTGAAATTAATCGACCTTGTTTAAGCTGCCACTCTGGGAGTTCTACTGGAGAACAAAACTACGTAATTATTTTTCGCTCCCTGCCTATGTAGTGCATGTCTGTTTTTACACTCTTATGAACTTTCCGCTCGTAGTAGGAAACCCTTTAAGTTTTGAGAATGCAAGGAAGGGTGCTGTTGTAGATACTGAAAAATGATGGCCCCCACATGATAAGCAAGCAAGAAAAAAATGCTGTATATATTGGAGTAAGTGAATTTAAGCAAACAATCAACTATTCATCCCGGACTGCAATTGGCTTGTGTATTTGATATGAATCGTATTAATTATGTAAATTGTTAACTATTATTACATGAATATAAAGTAATTAATAATTACACTCCTTCCTTTGATTTTTAATATTTATTATTTGGAGGCGTCAGTAAAAGGCATTTCAACAATAGCACTTTTTTACCAAGAGTACCCCCCTTTTTTGGACGCTTCTGAACAATTTTTTGTATCTGTGCACATGTTCTGTTATAAGCTTGTAAGGTTGAGTGGCTATGAACTGAGAAGCAACCATATATTTCAGCACATCCTTGGTCTCACAGGCCTATTGTTATGTCATTTTTTGTCTTTTGCACCTTGAGAAATTTGATAAGCCCTGCGATTATTGTTTCGTCTTTGAGCAATTAACCTCACCAACCTTAACTTAACGACCCTTTGCTTTATAGAGAGCATTCACTTTAGTTTTGAATCTGACGAAGAAATGCCTTATTGCCTTTCCACTTATTTGGAACGCTATATTTCGCCAGAATGCTGGAGAAAAGCCATTTTCTGCTAACATTTGTATGGCACATATATTGCCACGGTTGTGACGCTTTGACTCGATGCACAGCTGTCGGGCCAAATTATCACAGTCCTGGTGACTAGTGGGCAGAGAGCAAGTGTGTGTTAAATTTATGAAATAAACTGTATCTAGAAACAAAAGAACTTGGAAACGACTTGTTTAATTTCATCAATGGTACTTGGATACTTGAAAACAAATTCTTGTTTAGTGAAGTACACAAATATTTATTATCACCACATGCCAGCCGATTTAGATCTTCAAATTGAGAAATTCACTGAATTCCTCACAAAATCAATAAATAAATTAAATATTACAACACAAATGTTGACGACTGACAAGTCATGGCATCATAGATGAAAGTGTTATTGATGGGCTTGTATTGAGACGTGATGAACTTGATACCCTCTTGAGCGGCACAGCCCCCTGAAAGGATAAAATTTTAACCTAGACATGATTTCAATTAATTAATATCTTACCAAGAAAAGCAGAAACAGAGTGAAGCTCAAGACCCCCATACCTACAGAACTCGTGAATAAGATCATCTTTTCCGATGTGACCGACACCTAGCTCGCCCAGCAGTTTGTTGACTATACTCTAAAATAAAATTTTTATTTATTTCAATGCCTACATTAAATAAATTTTACCTTAAGTTCCACTATGTCAGGCTCCAGCCTTTCATCAAAATGACCAGGATACATGTTATACTCTGTGTAAAAGCGGTCAATGCCTCTCATGATGACGTAATGAGGCATGCGGCTGTCAGGATCCTCTAATTGAGAAGCTGCCAATCATTTGATCAATCAGACATTTGAATGGGGAAACAATTAAAAGCTTACCAATGACTTGGGTGTTAGCAGAACGAGGGTCAACTTCGTCAGATATCGAGCGACCTCTCACTACATGGAGGTCATACGAGTGCTTACAGAAGTGTTTGATGTCTTTTTCAGTGATTGTGTCGGGGGGCAAATTCAACTCGACAAGCAGCTGCTGCGCTCTTCTGTAGACCGACTCAACGTCACGCTGAGCTTGATCATGATATCTGAAATGAGAAGATCAATAAAAGTGTCTCGTAATTATCAATCAATATTACGCAGTGAGGAGGGAGATGTATCTTGAGGTCTCGGCTGTCATGTCTGGTAGGGACCCTCGCACAGGAAGAAGACCACCGCCTTCTCCATCAACAAAATCTTTCAAAGCTCTTGCCATGATCCAAAATGGATTGCTCTATTTTAATAAGACAGTTTAATTATTTGCTGTAAGCTGTAAGGTCAACTATTACTCTAGAGGTCAAATTTATGCAGCAGGGGTCATTCAAAATATCTTTCACATCATTAGGAATTCTTGAGGGCTGAATTTCTGCATTCACAGCTCTGATGGCTTCTTCAAAATTCTCTTCGTCGTAATAATCACCCTGCTCATCTTTCAATTTTGCCTCCTGAAAAAAAAACAAGTAATTTAGGACTGCAAAACTTATTAAAAAAATTGTACCTTTAGGATGCTTTTGAGTTCATCCTTCTCTTGCCTTTTGACAGGGTGGCCATCAGGGTGTCGTTTCCTATACTCTTGCAATGCCTTATACAGCAGCACTACGTATGGAATGTGTGCATGATCCTTGAGCCCCATGCTACTGAGGTTGATGGCATCCACCAGGGTCGTCAGTGATGGAAAAGGTTTGTCCAGCCTCAAATCTGGCAGAGGGTGCTCTGGATGAGTTTCGACAACGGCATGCTCTGGCACTTGGATACGAATACTACCAAACATGCCGTAGCTTTTGCAGACAATCAAAGGAATTCCTTGACTCCATAGCTTTTTTGACAGAGGAATAAGAGACCTGCGGAAAAATAATTTACTTGTGATATCGTCCATAGCTTAAAATTTAAATAATGGAAAAACTGATGTGAATAATATTTTAATTATATTAATACTGTTAAACAATAGAATGGAGTTGAACCTTTCAGGCAATGACACAGCATAGACAACAGTAAAGTTGTCGAAAAAGTCAGGACTGTTATTGAGCAATTGTTCCACAGATTCATCCACAAAATCTCCTCTAACATCATTGTTCAACTCTAGCAACATTTTCGTCGCAACCTCAGCCCTTGACTTGCCGACAGAGTCCTGCTCCAGAAGAAAACTGCAAAAGATTGTTAGAATTATCAAATTTGTTTCTTCGATGAATTCTGCAATTTTACTTAGTCTCTAGATCAATTTCACTGATGGTGTGACCATCGACGATGGTGAAGGCTCCGATGCCGGGCAGGACCAAAGATTTCATGATTTCTGTGCCCAAAGTTGTTGCATTGACAAGACACACGTGACATGAGTCCAGTCTTGACTGCCCGTGTTCCCCCCATAATCTGGAAAAATCAATCTGAAATTAAATTTTATTTCCGCAAAAATTAAGCATTAAATACGCAAAGGGAAAAAACAAAACAAACAACATACTATTGTGCTAGAAAAGGTGTGCACTTAAATTGCATTTGCGGTATCTCTAGCGACAAACACATTCTTAGACTGGGTTTAAAAAGATTTAATGAAAGCTTGCACATCAAAATTTTGCCTCAGATTTCACATTTTACCTGATTTGCCTATCATATTTCTTGCTTTTGTCCGATTGCTCCGGCGATTTCGGGCTAGGCGACGCCATGTTTCCCTCAAGTAAAAAATTTAAAATTACCCGCTTGGCGCTTACAAGAACAATAAACCGGTTTCACCGGTGAAAGGTGAAACGAAAATAAAAAGTTAAAAACAATAAACAAATATGGCGGACGAAGCGGACACGGTAAATTGACTCTCTTTGAAACATTGGTCTTATTTCATTGCTAATGAGTAAAATTGTCGTTTCAGGTTGCGCAAGTTACAGTTAAAGAGCCGTTGGACTTGATTCGTTTGAGTCTCGATGAGAGGATCTACGTGAAGATGCGTAATGAGCGCGAGTTGCGAGGCCGCATACATGTATGTAAATTTAAAGTTTTTGAAAGATTTTGCCTTTTAAATTTATTTTTGATACGCTTTGGACTTTTAAATCAACCCTGATATTTTTTTCATAGGCCTACGATCAACATTTGAACATGGTCTTGGGAGATGTCGAGGAAACTGTGACCACGGTGGAAATTGACGAAGAAACTTATGAAGAGGTGTACCAAACGACAAAACGAAATATTCCGATGCTCTTTGTCCGCGGTGATGGTGTAATTTTGGTTTCTCCCCCAATGAGAGTGTAATATTTAAGATATGTATCACTGTTTATTCTAAGGAATCCGCATCACAGTCACTACTTGTGTTTGCGAAATAAATTTGAAATTTTGGCACTTTTACACCTAATGTGCCAAAAATTAATAATCGCGGTTTTACTATATGAAAAGAGTCTTCCTAGAGAAAGAATTAAAACAAACTATTTAGGAATTAATTTTTTTAACATAACATTTTAGTCTTATTGTTTCCGTAATAAAATTTTCATTTTAGTCAAAGACTAATTATTTAGTCTGCATTCAATATTCCCTCCATTTTTTCAAAAAAAGAACCGGTTTTTTTTGGATTGAGTACTTGCCCACGCCCACTTATTTTCATTACACGTTTACGCCCCCGTACCACATTTTCCGAGTTTTGACTTAGCGGCTCTAAAAGCTTGATTTCACCTATTTTGATCAGTTAAAATTAAAATTTTGCCTTATTTAAACCATGGAAGCCATGCAGAAAGGCCTAAACGCTGAGCTTGAAGTATTAAAAAAGGTTCAGAAAGGTTTGTATCATTCTGATGTGCAAAATAATTTTATAATACTTCAGCAGTTGTATTAATTTGTTTTGCTTTCATATGCACTACTTGTATACTATTAATCACCATTAATTATTAATGATATTTAATTTCGTATTTCAGAATACCAGAAATCTGTCTCAGCGCATCAGCAGCTTGATGCGCAGTTGAGTGAAAACAAAATTGTGAAAGAGGTTTGTTCATCAATTTTTGTTGTTTTAATTTTCCAAAATTATTTTATAGAAATTTACTAAAATATTGTAATTATCAGGAACTGGACCTTTTGAAACCCTGCAACACAGTTTACAAAATGATGGGCCCTGTTTTGGTAAAGCAGGACATCGAAGACGCCAAAATGAATGTAGACAAGAGAATTAAGTACATCACTTCTGAGCTGTAGGTTTTAACAATCCCTGTAATTATTATTTCTCTTATGAAATTCTTTTTTCAAACTTAACAGTGAGAGACAAAACAAGCAGCTTGCCGACCAAGAAGAAAAAATGCAGAAGACGAAAGAAAATTTGAACAAAATCCAGAGCCAGATGCAGCAAGTGCAGATGAAGTCGATGCAAGGACAAGCTTGAACACAATGACGATCTTCTTTATTTTTAAGTGAGTAATCATCAGTTGTATTTTCTGGGTAAAATGAAAATATCCATGGATGTTTGGAAGTTTTTATTGTTAGGAGAAGTTCACACTATTTTCTGACACATCAGCTAGACACGGAACAGGCTTAATTACATTATTTCAAGTCATGGATTTTTACAATAATTAATAAGCCATTTCAAGAGATCATTCGCAAGCGAGCTTCATTCACACCATACATGAAACATTTTAATTTTTATAATGTATTTTGTTAATTTTATTACGCTTAAAACTGAACACTTTGAAAATAGGCGGTGCTAAAACTATTGAAAAAGTGGCACTATTAAGAGCTAGAGCAGCACTACAGGAAGAGTTAAGTGACTGCTACAAGTTGCTTAATTTAAACTCTTTTTAACTTCTGTAGGCAGGATTATAAAATGGCCACTTTTCTAAAACTTTTGTCATAATTGGAATAGATTTTGCTGATTTTCTGCAAATATTTTAATGCTAGACATTTTTACACACATCTTCTGTGGGTTGGACTACGTGGTAAAGTGTTTTCTGTGATATGAGGACCACACAAAATTGACTAGGCTTAGTCTTGCTGGAGGCCCTCCTAGGCCTTAGGAGGTGTGCAGCGCGCGCAGCACTCGCCTTCATGGGTAATGGCTACTTGCGGCAGGTTGCAAATTAGCGGAGGGCAGATGTTTCTGGTGCAAGTTATCTGGTGCTTCTGTAACAGAAAAAATATATTTATATTTCCATTTCCATTTTATGATAAAATTGAAAAAAATACTCACAAGACAGTGACACTGGGTGCACGAGTCCAAGTGCCAGATCTCTCCGTTCAGCCGGACGTGTCCTGTATCGTCTGTGCACTGTTTGCTGTTGTGCTTGAGCTGTTTGTGTGAGTCCTCATTAATGATCCTGTGCTCCAGTTTCTTCATCTTGCGTTTGATCTTTTTCAACTGTTTGTTGACGTACCGCAGAACCTCTGCTAAGCTCTTGGCCTCTTCGTCATCTTCCTCTTCAGGTCTGTCCCCCTCTTGGTGATCTTCATTCTCGGCAGACTCTTCGGCGGGGGTCGTCGGAAGAGTTGTGGTTGTAGTCAAGGCCGTGGTTGTTGTGCTTTGAGTGGTGCTTGTGGTGGTTGGAACTGCGGTTGTCGACGTTGTCCTGCCAGAGTTTTTGGATCGGCGCCTGGTTGGTGCAGGAGTTGTCTCGAAAACTTGATTTTTCTCTACAGATTGGTCAGATTCTGATTGTTGGTTTGCACTACGACGGAACCTCCTGCCCACGCCTTCAAATCTTGCTGAACTCTTGCAGTCTGCAATAATTCAGAAAAAATTATGAATTTGTAAAAATCCATTGTTATTGAAATACATATTTTTTTTTCAATTTATTTAACTGTTTTTTGATAATTTGAAACTAAAATTTGAAATTAAATTAGGGGTGATTAGTCAAAAGTAACAAATATTTAACTGTCTTTACAATAAATGGTAACTATTATTTTTCTGTTTCAGCTTATTTTTCAACTTTAAACTTCTCATTGGCTTACCTTCGCAACATTCAGTCCAGAAACTCAGCTCGATTTGTGGTAACTCTTCACAAGACATGATTCCTGATCTCTGTTTTGACGGCAGCAGGAAAACGTCCTTGGTCATGCGGTCGATGGCGTCTCCGTTGTTACACAGAACGGCCGCCAACGATGACTGCCGAAGCTGCGTCAACTGGGCTGGCGTGAAAACCGCTGGGTCCTCGTACCAGAATCTGCAAATAAATAATTCAGCTTTTGAAACCCGAATATTCCAATCTACCTGTCGCCGTCTCTGAGTCTGCGGAATTGATCAACCAGGATGCACTGGAAGGTAGGTCCAATTTTGCCTCCGTCAACTTGGTCTTCGAGAATTCCGCCCACAAACAAATCAATGTTTCCTGCAATGAAAACTCTTTTGTTAATCCATTTTGCTTTGTCTTCTAATTTTAAATTGAAATTCTTAATAAAATTAAAAAGTATAATATTAATCATATTTTCAATTATACACTTTTGCAATAACTTAACCTGGGTGCCCATAAAGTTTCTTTAATTTCTCTCGGATTTCACTGCTTTTGATTTCATTTCGAAGATCATGGAATGACTCTGCTGCAGTCAAATTGCAGAACTGCCTGTATTCGTTGTAACTGGGTAGGCCGTGGTCACGTCCTCTTTGAATGTTGATCGCAGCCAGGTCAAGAGCAACCTGGATTAATTTTTTTTTATTTGCTTAGAAGGTCGTCTAAGTTTTTACTTACATTGTGGGCAGCTGAAAAGAGTCTCTCCGTCAGATCAGAGTTGAGCGTTTGCTGGGGAGTCTTGAGCTTGGCAGGGGAGAAAATCATACCCCTCATCAGGGGATCGACGCCACCTTCCTCAACGAGACGCCAGGGCGAGAAAAATGCCCTGTGGAGAGGCAGGGGTCCTTCAGGAATAGGGTGGAAAGAGGCGTTGAGTCGGTCCAGCTGGGGGTTGATCATCGAGTGGCCGAAGCGGAAGGCGGCCGTTGCGAAGGCGTTTGCAATCCGGGGGTCTGTGTCCGGCTGATAGCCCTTGTAACTTCCCAGCTTTTCCATGCCTGACGGGCCCAAAATGTGGGGCAGCCAGTGCGTGAACGTGATATGCTGCATCTGGGCACCTACGATCTGGAAAAGAAATTTAGCTAAATCCATTAAAATAAAATAGAAAAAGACATACTTTCCGAGCTTCGTGAAAAACGGAGTCCGACTCCCAGAGAGGGTTGAATGTTCGCAGCTTTTTCGCCACTCTGTTGTGCTCCCTGAGCCAAATGGTGTGCATGGCCAGAAGAGCCACTTGTTCGTTGGCCCTGATGTCTCCGGCCATGAAGCAGCCAATGTTGTGTTCCCTTGGGTCTCGTCTGCAGTCCATGAAATCGCGGTCTGCCAACGGCAGAAGTTCTCCTTGCACCCTGGGCAGGGTTATGGACCTCATCAGTCCGTCTTGGCTGTTGAAATCTCTCAATTCCGACACGACCGCCGTTGAGAATCCATAGACCTGTATATTTATCAAAATTTATTAAATTCAAGCTCATTTTCTTTTTTTTTATTTGAAATCTATCCATTTAATAATATTTAATAATTCTTTAACTTTTATGCATTTTTGTCAATTGTTTTCTGTTGCAACAATAATTAGTTTCTTATTTAAAATAAATATGAGTTACATTAAAAATATTTTTATTCTACCTGTGAAGCATCTATGAAAGATGTGAGCTGGTTTATCTGCTCCCTGGGGTTGACGGAGTCAAATAGCACCGAAGTGCCTCCTGAACCGCAAATAGCGCTGCTCCTCACAAAATCCATGCACTTGTCTAAACGACCTCGCAAATCGTGCTCGGGAATCTGAATAGGGTAGCAAGGGGACGCAAACTCGCATGACCTGCAATACAGATCAGCGATCAAACACATTTTCTGTGCTTTTTCAACAAAGCAACGGTTAAACCTATATTTTATGATTTGAACGAGCCTTTAATTAATAGTTAAAACCGTTTTACTTTTCCAACAACAAAATTTGATTAAAAAAATTAAAAAATGCAAAACAAATCGATTCAAAAATAAAATAAATATAATTAATATATAAACTATTTATAAGAAACCGCCTTGGGTTGAAAATAACATTTAAATTTGCAAAAAGCACCCATAAATATTATGCATACTTTATTTGCAACAATTGCAAAGCAAAAAATAAAATTTAAAGCAATTAATACAAAAGCATATTAGTTATTTATTTATATTTAAATTTTAAATTAGTGCTCACCCTTTACATTCCACGCCATCCTCGTAACTCTCGCCACTGAGCGAGGGGATGGCGTGATCCATGTCGTGATCCAAAAACTGGCCCCACTGCATCAGCATGTGACTGTTGAAGTGGTCGGGGGTGATGTCGGTGGTGCTCAACAAAGAGCTGGAAACGAGTCGGGCGTTCGGCTTCTCAAAGCCAAAGTACTTTTGCCCTTTTGTCCAACCTACAATAAGAAGAAAAGTTGCCGCGCGTATAATAATGCTGAGAGCGACGAGAGAGAAATTAAGATTAATGGACCCTCCGACTCAACCCCGCACGCACAGCAAGAGCTCATAAAAGATTCAGTGTGGAACACTGCGCTAACAATTAAAAATGAAAAATCGTTTTTTAATTTTTATCTCCAAGGAAGAGAAAAAAATTTAAAAAATTTACCAATGGGAAGATTGAATCCGTTTTCGTATGCTGATGGCAAAAGTCGGTGGAAGGCGGTAAGGGAAGCGCCCCACATCGGGTGTCTCAGGTTGTTGCAGGTTCCGTCAAGGGACCTGTACTTGGTGTGGAAGCACATATCGTCGCAGTCAACGTGCGGTCTGTGCTGCATGCACCCTGACAGGTTTGCAACCAGCTCCAGATGCTTTGGGGACAGCAACTCCCGATACGAAAAATCTGTAAGTTTTATGTTCAGCTCAAGACCATTTTAAAAATAAATGTGATTATTTAAAAATTATTAAATTTGGTGTAAATAAGGACCTTTGGTGTCTGTAAGGCTGAGTTGCATTCCAGCCAGGACGTATTTCTTCACATTGGCCAGAGTGATTTCATAAATTTCAGCCGCCCGAGCAACTTGTCTCGCCTCAGCATTCGGATAGCGCAAAATTCGTAGAAGTTCTCCAGGAGAGGCTGGGGTCGTTCGCGCAAATAGGGAGGTCAGGGTGTCGTTCACAGCTTTGTCCACCTTGCTCTGCGCCTCCTGATATGCTCTCTGCACAAATTGGTCCCCGGGCCCAGCAACCACAGTAACGCCTTCAAATTCAGAGAGAGGCGGAAATTTTAATGAAAAAATTTTGGCAGGCCGTCGCTGCGAATTTTTTCTCTGAGTAGAATATAAATGCGAAATAAAAAAGGCAGCGAGAGGGGAATATGTGTAGACTCATAAATTTTAATAACGCAAATGTGTCGTACCTCTGACAGTGACGGTGGCTTTAGCCGAAATTTTGCCTTTTTCGTTCACAGCAGCGCATTCGTACTCGCCGCTGTCGGCCGAGGTGACGTTATAGATGTACAAGCTCCCGCCAGACGCAATCCTAATCAAAATCGATCCAATTTTCACTCAACCAAATCAACGCAAAAAAGCATACGTGTGGAATTCAATTTTTTCCACACCAATGAGAGGAAATTAAATTTTTAATTTTTTTTTCTGTGTCACTAAATTTAATGATACTCTTGCTTACTTGTGCTGCGGGTCTTCGTCGATGGGCACGCTGTTCTTGCGCCACTCGATTTCAGGGTGAGGGTATCCAGAGGCGCTGCAGGGCACCTCCACCGTCGCCCCAGGTGGCACGGTCATGTCGTAGGGCTGGTCTTGGAAAACGGGCGCTTCGCGACGTTCATCTTCCACTCCGAGCCACGCGCCGGCAAAAACTTGGCCGGCCGTATTGCGAGCAATGCACGTGTACTGGCCCGCGTCTGAGAGCTTAACTCGTTCGATTCGCAAAATTTGACCTGGAAATTTTTCCGATTTTTCCAAAGATTATTTAGAGATATTGAACAACGAATAGAGTTATATATATATACATTATTTTCTTAAATATTTGTATTTGTGACAATAAAATAATTTAAAAATTGATGAAATTTATTTCTTTTCACCATTTTTATAAATATGCATGGTTTGCTCTTACTCATACAAATATTTGCATCTTTATCATTGCTTTAAATGTTCATTTAATTTTTTTTATTTAAATTTCATTTTCATATGAATCAAACCAGCGCTTAAAATTTTTGAAGCGAAATTTTCTATTTTAAATTAATTTCAATTAATTAATTATGTTCTTAATACTCACCATTTGCAAGCAGGGCAACGTTACCCCCGGGAGGAATGAGCTGGCCCTCCCTGTACCAGCTGACGGTCGGCGCCGGCTGGCCATTAGCAAGACATCGAAACTGAACTAAATCACCGGCTCTCGCACTCTCGTTCTTTGGCGTTTCGCTCAGAATCGGAGCACCTGCACGTCGCAAACCAATAAATCTACCACCGAAATTAATATTTCACTCACCAACAACTTTCACGAACACGATGCTGTTGATGGTCCCGAGGAAGTTGGTGGCCGAGCAGCGATACTGCCCCGAGTCCTCGACCCGCGAATGTCTGATGGTCAGGGTGCCGTTTTCCCACACTCGTATGTGGTCAGTGTTTCTGATTTCCCTGCCGTCCCTGGACCACGTGATTTTTGGCGTGGGCTGTCCGACAGCGGTGCAGTGCAGACTGACCTGCTGACCTTGGTGCCCGTAATAGTCCTCAGGGTTCAGGGAGAACCGAGGCTTTGCTAAAGATTAGTGAAGAGTCGCATTCAGATTACAAAATATTTATTTTGAATTTTCACTGTACATATGCAAAAGGCTTTACAAAAATTTTATCTGAGGAAAAATAATATAATTGTCAACATTAAATTTCTGAACCTAAAATTTGAAACTAACTAATTTAAATAAGTGACCTTATTATTTAAAAGAGCGTGTGCACTAAATTATTTAGCCCTTTTATTGAATAATTTTCTAAATGCACCATAAATATGATAAATTCATGGAAATTGAGAAGACGAAAATATTAATGAATGGTTATTTAAGGAGATACAAGAAGTGTGCCGGTGTCGCAGCCTGCGCCTTTGTTACACAGAGGCAGAGCAGAAAGCACGAAACGCCACTTGAGAGCAAGCAAAAGCGTGCCCTAATTGCAGAGTGCCCTTCGCTGCGCGGATAATTGTAATTGCCACCAAGAGAGAGGGTGTAATTATAATTACCAACAGTGCGTCCAACCCGCATGACCGCAGATCTGGATTTGGTGTGGCCGGCCGAGTTTCTCGCGAGACACTCGTAAACGCCGACATCGTCCAGCGCTGCGTTGGCAATCATAAGGGTGCCGTCGCCCAGCACCGAGTAGCGCGGATTCGTGTCCACCTCCTGGCTGCCAAAGGAGGAAATTAAATTAATCCAACCGTAAATTTTATCTCAGGATGCGGGGAGTGAGTTATTTGAGGTTTAATAGAGCTTTTTGTCAAGATGGACAATTGATTTATTTTTATTTTGACAAGATTCAAGTTGGCATAAAAGGTTTTCACTAATTATTTTTATGCAATTACAATTGCTTAAATATTATGAGTCAAATTAATATCAATTTGAAGCAATTATATATTAAATTCATAATGTATAATACAGTATTAATATTTTTTGTAAATTTAAATATATAATTTTATTTTGTTACAAAGAATAATGCAAAATGAATTAAATAACATATATAAAATTCAATCTTTTTCCATTTTGTAGTTTTCTCTCTAAAACAAATTGACAACTGTCATTGAAAGAATTTCATTCCAAATTTTAATTGCCGCCAAAGCGGCAATAAACAAAGCGGGTAAAAAAAGAGCAAAACCTCTTTATTGTGTCGTCTCTCGCGGGCACAAAGGATTGAAAAAGAAAGAAACGCTGTCACGCATTCCTGCACGCGGCGCACAAGCGCCGTCTCTCTGATAATAGCAAAGTACCGTCCTAACGAACCAACGGAGGAGGTTCATGTGCATGTGTTTTATGTGCGCGGACGACAGGCGGGAGATAGACAATGGGCTGTTAATTAAACGAACCTATTCCTGAGCCAGACAATGTTTGGCTGCGGGTCGCCGTCGGCCTTGCACGTGAAGTAGACGGTGCCACCGAAAGTGATCTCAACGTCGTGCGGCTCCTCCTTGATCTCGGGCTTGCCTGTTGAATTCATCGTGACATTTGACACTGATTCAATTTGCTGCTGACAGTATATTTTAAAGAGAGGAACAAAACACGCTGCTCTTTAATTTTTAGCGACGAGGGCGATTCAAAATCAATAAAATATTTTGTGACTTTATTGAGCGAATATTTCAATTGTTATTTTAATTTAATTCAAAGTTAAATAAATTCCTGCTTGCCTCAAAGTTTGTACTTTTTAAGGAAAAAAATATGATAATATTTGAAAGTAAAAAACACAATTAAGGAATTGATTCAGTCTATAGTTGATATTGACTGAAAAGGAGTGATTTTTTTCCTATTCAGAAACTACAGATTTTTTGACGATAAGAAAAATTTAAATGTATTTGTTATAACAGAATTTTGCACATTATTTTAAGTCACAATATTTTATACAAGTTTCATTTCCGTGTTTTAATCTAGAGAATTTTGAGGAGCCCTCATTGCATATCCTTTGATTTGATTCGATTGCCTGAACGAATAAATTAATCATCCTCCTAATCCACGTCCACTCTAATGTTGCAGACAAGCAAGTCAAATGATTTGCCGTCTCAACCTTGGCCCCCGGTTTAAATCAGATTCGGTGGCCAATCTCAATAAATCCCAATCAAAAATTACTAAATAATCAAACGTAAATGATAAATCGCTGCTTTAAAATTTCCTGACCGACCAGGGCAGTGAACCGCAGCTCTAGTTTTACAAAAAGTCTCTGTAAATTGATTGACTATTGCTGCAACTCTCAAGATATAAGAGGAGTTAATGACGGAAAGGGTTACTCACGGCAGTGGAAATCATCGTCAGTCATCAGTGTGAGAGATTTGCCCTGCATGTCGACGGGTTGCTGACAGTGGGCAGCTGTTTGCGTGTCCTTCATCTGCTCCTTGAGCATCTTCACCAGCCACACCATTTCGCAGTCGCAGACGAGAGCGTTGCTGTCCAGTCGTCTGTTTGAAAAACACACACTCCATTTGAATGGACAGACTTTGCACATTCCTCGTTCGACGTGAGATGAAACGTCGGAGAGTGAGTTTGCAAAAGTTCAAATTGCACGCGTGCTTTGCTCGTCCTTATTGAGAATTAATTGCAATCGTTAAACATGCATCTCTATTGTGTTCGTCGCGTTCCTTGTGCGATTCGCGTCGCCAGAGAGCCAATTACGCGACGACGGCTGTGTGCAATTATGCCCAATTAGCGATGCGAAACACTTAATTCCGATGCAAACGAGCGTGTCCTCATTAGCATACAAGAAATCGGGAACGTTTTAATCCACAGATATAATTTTAAATTTAAAAAAGACGTTTTAAAATTTTCAAGATGTAAAGGTACTTTGAATATTATTTTGGAAACCAAAAACTTACGTCTGAAGAAGTTGCGAAAGAATATTAAACACGCTTTCGAGTATCTCCTTTCGCAGAATTGCAAAAAACTAATTTCACGGACGTGTTTAGGGAAGGAAAATTTTAATTTTGTACTCACAGTCGTTCGAGGGATACGAGGTTCTTGAAGGCACCCGCCGGAATTTTCTGCAGCTTGTTGTGTTGCAAAAACCTGACCCGAGAAAACAAAATTAGCATGATTGTGTTTGCGTTGAGGCGGCGCGATTCCCTTTTAGGGCGCCGTAATAACAATGAAAATGCAGATCACTTTTTGCCCAAAGATGCGGGGAAGAGGCGAAAGGTTAGTTTCTGCGTCAGCACGCGTGCCACTAGAGTGCGAAAATTATAACAAACTAATCAAGCACTTCAAGCAGGCGGTACATCAAGCTTCAGAACGGATTATTGCCATGGGCCATGATTAATCACAATTTTAAATGTTTAATAATTTCATGCGAATTTATTTGGTTTGGAGCCAATTTAATTTAACTTATAATTAATTCATAAATTTTGAGATAATTGTATAATCATCTGATATAATAATTTGTTATTGATCCAGACCAATATAATTGGTTCAAAGCATTTTAATTGGGTTGTTAAAAAATAGTCCTGATGCGAAGTAAGTTTTATAGAGCCGATTTTTTTTACTCTTTTTCTCTATTGATCCCATACAACAAATTCCGCAGCACGCCGGTCCAATTTGCATGCAAATGAAAAGTACTTTTGAAAGCGTCCGTGGTCCATTCACAAAAAAGTCACACCAGGCCCATTTGAACGGCAATTTCGCTCATTCACAGTGCTTTTTACTTACAGCCGCTCGAGCAGAGGCAAATCGCTGAGCAAGCCTGGTGCGAGTGTTTCGATCTTGTTGAAGTGCAGGTATCTGAATTGCAAAACACAAATTCGTCAACACTCACTCGCTACCACACACATTCACAGAGAGAGCAAAAATAAATCAGAAGAGCAGATCGTCATCACTCGCAGTGCATCAAATAAACAAGTGTGCATTAATATAGATTGCTGTTGAAATGAAAACAAAGCAAAAAGCAGAATTAGTCGCGGCGGCAACTCAGCAGCGTGTAGAAGCTTTTGATGAAAATTCTCTTTTATTTCTATATTTTTGGAACAAAATTTCCTGCCTTTGGGTAGGCTGTTGGACTGGAGACTCATTTCCGAATTTCAATGCTGTGCAAACAGCTTTTGCTATGGGATATAATAAAAAGTGAACGCGTCACTTGTTTCCACAGCAAGCGCCTCTAGAAGCGATTTTTGTTTCAGAACACACAGGATATTATAACTCGCAGCAGTGTGCGTTCAAAGGGCGCGCAAAAATATTATTTGCCCTGCGGACAAAACGAAAAGCTTCATACATATAGAAGGGTCTCAGATATGAACGAAATTTCCTTTTTGTTCTTCAAACTATCAAAGTCCCTTCAGACATTCCACAAAACTTCCAAACATTATAGTATTCTTTTATATTTTTTGCGTCTTAAAATACATGGAAGCTTGTATCTGAAGATATTTTTCATTTATTTTTTTTTTTAAATTCAACTTTATAGCGAAGCCAATGTAAAAAATAAGCCTATTTGAAATGTAACCTTTAATTCGCTTTAATATATGAAAAGGACTCAACATATTCCACGATCTCTTCAATATATCAGTTTAAAATTTAGAAAATGCAACCTGCATGACATGCTTGTCAAGAAGTTGCATAAATCAACATTCTGAAGTGAGCAGAATCTAAGTATTGTATTGTCAGGCTGCTATTGCTCTAAGCTGAAGAGACCAATAATAAACTGTCACACATTTGTAGCAAAATAGGGGATGAAAATTCGTTTTGTCTTCATAAGTTTGTCTCGCAAGAAAACTCTGAGGATAAAAGTGGCGCAGAAAAAAGTTTTCGCATGACGAAAAATTTGCCCAAGAAAAAGGGCACGCGCGTCTCATTTTTCACAGGCGACGGTCGCGCCGGAGGAAGGGGCAGCCTGAAATGTCAGTGGGGTAGACAACCCGTGGTGCACGTATGAGTGTATTATTGCATGATAAATCTGAATATTTAATGGCCCGTCCGCCCAGCTTACTTGTGTGTGGCGGAGAGAGGAGACGCGCGCGACCAGATAAAAATATGTATATAAAAAAATGTGAATAGGAAGCAAGAGGGCACCAAGAACAAAAAGTGATGCTGCGCCTGTGGTGGTTCACTCGGTTCCAACTTACAGCCTCGAGAGGGCGCCGAGGTTATTGAAAGTGCCCGGATGAATGGTAACAAGATCATTGAAATGCAAATACCTGCAAGATAAACAAACACACGCGAATAAACTTTTCATCTGCAACCCTAGAGCCGCTGGAAAAAAGTAATGTGAGATGTCTCTCCACGCTCAATCAGTGGAGGGAAAACTTTTGCCGTAAGCAGGGATGGAGTTTTTGGATAAGGAAAACTTTTTGGTTCAAGTTACACGTTATGCATTATTTCATTTTTTTTTTGTCATTGTGAATAAGAGGAGGTAAACATAAAAAAATGTAAGAAAAAAAACTTACTATAATTTAGAAAAAGGTTTTTCTTATCCTACCAATTTAAAATGACGTTCCAAATTGTTTAAGAGAGGATATTTTTAATTAAATAATAAGAAATCTTAGTCAGTTAGTAAAATTAAATCAATTATATTTTACTATATAAAAGTATGTAAAATATTGACAAAAAAATTGACAATTTATTTATTTCATGGACAAGCGAATTTTCAATCCGCAGACCAAAGGCTGCGCATCCCAAAATTATGTTGGTACACGGCTGCCGTCAGAGCCATGGGGCCTTATGGCTCGGGCGGAAGACATCTTTTTTTTGGCCAACATAATAGAGCTGATGCGTGGCCTTTGCCGCAGACTTTGCTAATTTTCATAAAATTGCAACTAAAAACTAATGAAAATTTTAACAAACTTCTCGATTTTTATTTCAATTAAAATATTTTCTGCTTAACAATTCCCAAAATTCTATGATTTCAAGTGATTTGAAGATATAAAAATAGTAATTACCGTAAAATATAACTTTTTTGTTAACATATGGCATATAACATATGACTATAAATTTAAAATAACTGATATTACTTACAGTTGTTCAAGCTTGTGCAGACCCTTGAAAACGTCGGCTTCAATATCTTTTATTCGGTTTTTGTACAGGTAGCTGGAATCAAAACAAGCACATAAATAAAAAATTTCAACAAGCAGCAAAACCGATCGCGGTAGCTTTACAGAATATATTAAGTTTCCATTACGAAGGAAAAGATAAAAAAAGAGCAAACACATCACGTACGCAGCTCATCATCTTGCGCGGTTGGGTGTTTTCAATCAATAATTTATGAGTGTTCCCATGCTCCCCTTTCCTCTCTATAAGCTCATGATGTAATCGCAAGAGAGAGTATTTACAATTTAATAAGCAGGCAGCTTAGCTCGCAGGATAAAAATAATGTAAACTTTGCCGCCGCAGCCACCGCGTACAGTACCATGTGTTTAGCTCAAGGGCAAAAACACTGTGCGAGAAACTCGGCGGCGATTATAAATTTTGCATCAAACTTGATGCGAATGGATTATCTCGCTGAACAGGTGACGCCAAAATTTTAATACTCACAGATGCTTCAGTTCAACCAGACCGAAAAAAACGCCATTCCGCAGCCGAGAGATCTGGTTGTTGTTCAGCAATCTAGAAAAATATAATTGGTATTGAGAGGAAGATCAATCAAATATTGGCACTTTTAACATGCATTTTTTAAATAAATTTCCATAATCTTATCTCCTTTGGATTAATTTTGGGTTTGGATTATCATTTTTTATATTATTTTTAGAACTTGATTTGATTCAAAATTCAAATATATTTTTTTACTTACTTACTTTAAAAAGAAAAATTGAAAATCTTAGTAAAACAGATGATAAAAAAAGCTTATTGCTGCAAAAATAAAATGTATGTCTGAAAAAAAAATGAACTGTGTTTAAAATTTTAATAGGCAAAAAATAAAAATATCCATTAACTTGACTGGGGCGTGAGAGTCAAGGAGTTGTTGCACACTTGAAGGAGAAAAACTTAGCGAGGCGGAACTCGGAACCACAAATAATAAGCCCCTGTTACATTTTTGAACGCTAAAAATAAGTATCAGTGCATCTCAAGCTGGAGCGCGACTGAAAAATATTGAGGGGGCACAAATCTTTCGCAGCATGCTTTGCAGCCCCGCGCTGAAGGATAATTACGCGCGAGAGCAACTGAGGAAATAATCAGAAATAGAATGCGCGTTGTTTTTCAGCGAGAAGGAAGGAATTGAAAACATTGAGCATTTAAAAATAGCGACGGGTACTTACAGCGTGTTGAGCTTCCTAAGGTTCTGAAAGGCGGCCGGCTGGATTTCTTTGATCTTGTTGAACCGCAGATCCCTGAAACAGACCGCACATACCATAAATTTGTCTCTCATCTCAATCAAAATGACATTGAGAATTGGCAATCAATGTTGTACAGAGATGCACAAAAACATTTTTCATGTTGAGGATGTTGCTTGTTAAATAAAAAAATGAAGTTAAAAGAGAAGAAATAAATATTTTAAGAGAAAATCTAAAAGTTTTATTGAATGATTCCAGATTCCATTCTCATAAATATTAAAAATTTAATTTGCTGACAACTCTGCTAAACAAGATAAATTTTTGTAAGAAATTCATCATGAATTCAGAAACCGAGAAAACCTGTAAAAGAATTAAAATGTCAAAACTTTTAATTGAGAATCTCCAAATTTCAAAACATAACTTATTGAAAAAAAAAACCCAACAACATAAATTTTTTTACAAGTATGAAATTATTAACAATATGAACCATTAAAAATTGTTATTAAGGAAGTGGCACTCTCTTTGCAATCAGGCGAATGCAAAGAGTCGCACTTTAATAAAGAGCGAAGTGTTTTTGGTTTTTGTCTTTCCGGTGAATGGTCGTCGGCATCGGTCTCTCGCCTTGGCTGAATGGCTGGCTCGACAGACACATGCTCTCGACGCATTTCATTACAATCACGGCGTCGTTATCGTCCGCTTTGAGCACACGTCGGCGAGCTCTTCTTTTATTATTGTGTCTGCCGTGATGTGTATAGTATTGATCTCGTACACAATCAGAGAGACCTGCTCTCCACACTCCACACAGAGCCAGCCGCCGTTCAAACAAATAATGCCGTGAGAGAGACCGAGCGCCGCAAGCAAATTCGCAAATAATATATGCAAGACGCTTCCGAATTCACTGATCAGCACAACCTACTTACAATCCTTTTCAATGAAGGACAAATTTTTATTGAAGCGATTGTTCCTTTTATTTTCAAAACAGTGTTTTACAAAAATTAAATAGAATTAATTTTGGAACAAGATCAAAATAGTTTGAATAATTTATAAGCTCCTGTAGATTTTGAATTTAAATAATTCAAAATTTGGATTTCAGGAAATAAAAATTTGTTATCAACCAAACTTTGCCGGCACTGTAATTTTTTAAAACCGATTTGTCACCCAACAGGAAGAATTTCCTTTTTTGTTGCTGTTCTTTTCACAGCTTTTTTCTAAACGTGTATTTTTTCATCCTACATCATTAATCGTAGGCATGTGAGTGCCTTTAATATCTCCTAATTAGGCAAAAAAGGGAGGCTTGACGGGCCCGATTGATTAATGGCGACGGGTTACACGGGCAAGAATAAGAGTGAATCGACCACTCCGCGTCCTTGGTCATAGATAGGCCACTAATGGAATTAATTAAAAATGTGCCTGCTCTGGCGACACTTAACAAGTTAAACCCATTAAGCACTGCTGGATCTCACTGCTTTGCTTCATTCATTCCCATTTGTTTGGTGCATCAACTTTTTCAAAATAACCTCAATAATTGTTCAAAGAATTTGGATGAAATTTTTAATATATTATGGACTTTGCTATAGTTGGACAATTAATTATCCTTAGTACAATCTTAATTATTCTCATTTTTTAAATCTTCTTATTCAATTCAATTGCAAATGATAAAGATTTAAAAAATTAAATTTCAATATTTTACGTTAAACTAAAAAAAATCATTTCGCATTACAAATGTTTTAAGTCTAGTCTTGTATCCTGAAGCAACAATTTGCGTCGCCTGTCAACGCCTCTCTTTATGAAGGCGCACGTGCGTTTTTTCACGCATAAACTGTCGTGCCGCCGTTCTTTCTTCTCGCCGGCGCAAATTGTTAACATCATTCGCGACTCAGGGCTTCTCCTTTCTTGTGTAGTCCCATCTGCGGAAAATAAAACGGTGGGAAAGGCAGAAGCTGCGGCAAACAAATGAGGGTCGTGTTTGTTTTTTCGAGTCGCGCAGAGAGGCACGCAGCCTAATTTACATTTTGATTCTCACCTCCTTTTCTTTCTTTGTATTCGTTCTCAAAACAAAACGCCACTTTTCTGCACAAATCCCCTGATTTATTTTCGTGTTTGCGAATTCCTAACGACTCGCCCGCTCGCGGATTTTCGTTTAATTTTATTTTCGTTGGTGGCGCGTGGCATTTTTTTTTCGTTCCCTCAGCTGTGGGATTTTATTTTCTCGAGAGGGAATAAATCACGGCGCCTTTATTGGGTGCGATCCTTTCCAAAGAATCGTCTTGTAATCAGACAAAGGCGACAAATTGCGTTCTTTCCCTCGATTTAATCTCGCTAGAGCGCTTTCAATTCCGTTAAACAAACACATCCCTCTCGAGAGTTTAATCTGGTTTGATTGGTTCAGACCATTTTCTTGGTGCTCCTTTAATTCCATTCCACGATTACGTGAGTTCCCACTCATTCCGTTTAAGCCTTTTAAATTTGATGACAAAAAGAGACGCTACTTTTTTATGGTATTGATTTATACAACAAAATTATAACTCAAAATAAGCATAAGAAAATTATTGATAGTTTGAAAATTAAAAAAAGACAACATTTTGAAGATCATAAGATGTTTTTAAATAATTTTCTTCTTTATTAATTGACCTTCTTTCATTTAAAAATACCATTTGGCCTATCATCAGTAGGCATAGTAGCACTGAAAAGCCAATTTTCCAGTGGTTTTTCGCAGTCTAAAAGACCTTTGACCCGCCCGTAAAGCTATTAACCATTAACAGAGGCGCTTTTGACAACGATGCGTTAATCTCCTTTGCCTGGCCAAGAAAACCCAAGGAAAGTGTTAATGTGCAGAAAACTAGCAAGTCCGCCGCGATGCCTCTTTGACCTTTCCAGACTTTCCAGGTACCAGCCCGTAAATTATTATGGTCTGAGAGCTCAAGCTTACTCTCTCTGCGGAGCTCATTGGAGAACAGAAAAATAAACAGAAATAAACATTTCAAAGCACCTTTGAGAGAGCCTGAAATTTTGCTCAGCATCAATGAGTTAAACCAAAAGCTTGATGCTTAATTTTTGGTTCCCACACCGCATCAAGAATCATTTCTTCAACCAGCCTACAAATTAATTTTTTTGTAACAATTAACCTAGATTAGCAGAGTTGATAATATACTTTATCCTTGGTTTAAAGTCTGAAGCAATATTAAATTGCAATGCCAGAATTTTCTAAAAAAAATGTAAGCAATTGTCATTAACAGATGAAACCAGTTGGTAGAAAACTGCTTTTGGCCCTCGTTCAATCCTCTGCTATAGAAGAATAAGCCTGATATTATTATAAGCGCTTGACGTGTCAGCGCTAGTATCTTTTGTGTAAATATAATACAATTTGATTTATCACCGTGAACAAGAACAAAGCGAAAGAAAAGTCGTGCCAATTATTCATCTGGTTTGATATTTTTTTCACGGTCATAGCAGGTGTGCTCTTGTTATTTATTTCGAAGAGGGAGACACGATTTTCACGCCAGGCACGCTCGTGATATCAGTTCGTCTGGAAGTTGATTTTCATGACGACTTTATTACCTCGCCATCCTCTCTGAATACTAGAAAAAGCCATTTATCATCTTCTATAGGATGTTCCGTATTGCACTGTGAGAAAGAGACAGGAGAAAAATATATGTTTTGGATATTTTCCCAGTGAAATCAAACAATAAAATAGCAAAACTATATTCAAATTGAATTAAATTTTAGCTCACAGATTTTTTAGTTTTCTTAATTAAATTTTTTTCACTGCCTTCATAGCAGAACGAACGAAAAGCTTTGTTATGACAAAAGTCGTGATGCACTTGGTCTTGACCATTTTCCTAGTTGTGTCACGATATTATGGAATATCAACTTTTCGGGCGGCGTGTCATAGTTAAAAGTGGTGCTGATCGCTTTTTCTCCACGCTTGTGTTCCGCGACGAATTGACACGCGCACGCTAATTTTGGAGGCAAACGCGGTGGCCGTTGTGTCTTTTCTATACGAGTCGGCGTCCCTCTTTATTTTTTATGGGCAGTCCGGTAAAAATAAGTCACAGATATAATGTCTTCATTCGGCTGCAGACCGGGTCACACCTTGCTCCGTGGGCAGACGGGCGAAAAATGTGACAAGGAAGCATTGTTTAATCTGTCTTTTTCCTTTGAAGTGGCTCCGACGAACGAGGTACACTTGCGAATATAATCTGGAATTTCGCTTCCTGCAATTTGCCGGTCACCGCACGCGTGGGCCGCGAAAATTGTTCTCGGCAATAAACAACAAGATTTACACAAGTCTGGACAGACCATAAAAATTGGGATCGCGCCTCCTTTTATGAGCGCGTTTTTCCATCACCGTAAGGCATAATTTTTTATTGAACTACCGATTGAGTTCATGGCTTATTGGAAACTTAATAACATTAGCTTCAGTGTACAAAATAAACTTTTTAGTTATATTTTGCAAAATTTTTCACATTTATCAATTTTATAGAAGAAATTAACAAATATATAAATGGTATATAAAAAACCCTGAAAAAGATTTGTAATTTTAATTATTAAAAAAATAATAGTAATAATAAATATATAAAAGTTCATCTTAATAGTAATTCTGAATATTATTAATGATATATTATTTTCTCAATAAAAATTTTGTTATCATTTTATAACTATTACTGTTTATGTGTAAAAATTGTTGCATCACACTGTTCACATTCAAGTGTTGCAAACAATTTAATTGAACAACAAGAAATTGCTTGACAAAACGGCACCACCACTAGCAAGAATTTTGCTAAAATACTTCCGAAATCAAAAAGACCCCATCACCGCAATTGATTATTTTTATTAATGTTAAATTAATCAAGTACAATAAAGACTCCCTGTAAGGGACATATATAGGTTTTTTAGCAAATATAATTTTTTTACCTAATAATTTTTTGATTAAATTTTGATAAAATTCGTGGTAAATTATTCATTCAAAAGTGGTGCAAATAAATGTATATTATTTTGAAGGTTCCGCCTTAAATTATTAGTCATTTATTGAACATGTACCCTTCTACCTAATTCCT